AGTAACTAACTCTAGTTAGATACATTTACAGTAACTAACTCTAGTTAGATACATTTAGAGCAACTAACTCTAGTTGGACACATTTAGAGTAACTATAGTTGGATACATTTAGAGTTACTAACTAGTTGGATACATTTAGAGTAACTAACTCTAGTTAGATATATTTAGAGTAACTAACTCTAGTTAGATACATTTAGAGCAACACTAGTATCATCACCTGTAATTCCTGACCCTGAACACGGGCCGCTAAACTAATTGCTAAACTAATCCTGTGGAGCAATTTTTCAGATCAACATAACTGAAATGTAATGAAGTTTATAAAGTGTTCTGTGGGTCAATCACCCTTAAGTTTTCTTCTTTTTCCTAAAGCTCGAAAGAATTGCAGATTCCAAAGAGCAAGTCTTCCCTGTCAAAGGTGGATTTCAAGCTCTTAAAGGAATAATTAATTCTGTGAGTATTTCTCTTGGGGCAGAAGAGGCTTGCGATTTTGCATATTATTTTAAACTGTAAGAATTAATCTCAATATCCGGGGCCAGGTGGTCATTATCTCGAAGAAAGATTGAGGAAGAGGTTTGTCCAGTATTGCAAACACAGTGTCATTCTAAAGATCCTGATTTTATTTTATTTTATTTTTTAGTAAATGACATTTGGTGCTGATTCTTGTATATTGGGGCTCTGGGAGTCTGGGTTTGTGATTTCCAGTTTTAAGATTTTTTTTTCATAAACAGTCTCATATACCCTTTGAGCGTGGTGTTAACTGTCTTGCTGTCCTTGAAAGTTTTATGGGCTTTATGGAAGAAAAGCAAAATAAAAATTTGGATTGGAATGTGTGACAACTCCCTCCCCCAAACATGGTGTTTCTTAGCTATCAGTCAGGCAGCTTGAATCGGCGGCTATTTGACTGTAGTTGTTGTTCTTTCCATTTAAATGATTAATAATGTTGCTGGAACGCATCATAATATTTCCGTTTGGAATTCAGTGGAGCTGTTGCTGGTGATGATTAGATCGCTATCCTAGCGGGCATGGGAGAGGAGTCATGAAGACAAAGCAAAGTCTGGGTTCACACTGAGGTTATGTTTCATTTTACTGCCTTTTGCTAGAAGCACTAGGAAAAGTTGTTAAAATATTATGGATATTTTAACACCATCCTAAATGGAAGGCGGTAGAAATGTATATTCTCTAAGCCAAAGCTTTTTCCTTAATCTTTAAGGGTAAAAAACAACAACAACAACAAGAAAACCCCACTCAGTTTCTTCTAACATTGGGTTTGGGGATTGAAAATTTCTCTTTAAAGATCATGTTTTGTGGCCCAGGCTAGGTGATGCACGGGCGCGCCGCTCAACAGCAACCTCCAAACTCCTGGGCTCAAGCGATCCTCCTGCCTCAGCTCCTCCCGAGTAGCTGGGGCTACGGCATGCGGCCCCAATGCCCGGACAATTTTTTTCTGATTGTATATATTATCGGCCAATTAATTTCTTTCTATTTATAGTAGAACGGGGTCTCGCCTTGGCTCAGGCTGGTCTCGAACTCCTGACCTCGAGGGCGATCCTCCCTCGGGCCTTTCCCAGTGTGCTGGGAATGACAGACGTGAGCCACCCGCCGGCCGGCACAGGTGTCACATTTCATTTTCTAAAAATACTTAAACTCTCTTCTCACTCTTCTCTCTCTCCACCTAACTTTCCCTTTGTCTTTCATTTGGAAATGGTTTTGGCAAACTTTTGTTCCAAATTATGGGTTTCTGGATTTCCAACATTCATCATTTCTTGCAGGGTTAGATGCTTTTTCACACGAAGTAACTTCGTCCTGGCTTGTCTGAGTCCTGTTGTGATGGTTGGTTTGCTAATTTTAAACGTTCTCATTAATGTGTACATTCGGTATTTATTCTCTAAGCATTTATTGGCTGCCTGGCATGTACGAAATAATTTGTCAAGCACTGAAGCTGCTGTGTAGTACAGTAGGATTCCATTTCTGTCCTCAAACAGTTTGTTTTCTAATAGAGGAGGTGAGCTGTGCACTCAACTAATATAAGGTTCAAAGAGATTTTATAAAATAATCTTTAGAGAGGAGCAGGCAATACAGAAATGCAATTGGATTTCATTAGGCAGTGATGATGCCAATTTTATGACTCTTGGTCTGAATTGCTTGCTTTTAAATGAATGTGCTACCTGAATTACTTTTCTATTCAATTATATTGTTTCTATAAAAAACTTATTTTATTAAAACAAAAGTACAAATATTAAACTAAGTGTATTTTTATTCCTAAATGTATATTATATAGTTAATTGCAGGATATAACCAACATTAGCTATTCTTAATCTCTGAATAAATGTAACTTAATTTCTTTAGTCTCAGGTTGCAGTAGAACATAAGCTGCTAAATCACCCTGAACCTTTTGTTTTTAAAATTAAAATACCTTCCAGGACATAAACAGGGTATGGCTTCAAAGAAAACATCAACTATCCTTGAAGAATATTTATTTTTCAGCTTTAAGATCCCTGTAGGATAATTTCTCATAGGATCTTGCTATTATCGGAGCTCTCATTTATTTAGAAATATTTTGATGCATTAGATCATTAAAGGAGGAATTCGGTATATTCACATTTATCTTAAGTAGTATGAGATATGATTAAATTTTGGTCCATATGGATGGAAGAGAGAAAACAAACATAATTGAACAAATTCACAACTGGATGCATATTCTCTGACATGGTCTTTAGAAAGTTTAGAAAATTCTAAGGAATTTTAAAAAACGATTTCTATTTCCAATAAATGTAGTCTTTAAACACCTCTCGTAATTTTCCTTGGTATTTGAAATACTTTTCAGTAATGCTGATAAAGATGTGGGTAACAAAGCCACAAAATTTACAAAGAGACTGTAAATTGAGAGATGCAATTGACTTACTTAATAGCGTCTGTTTTAAAATAAATTCCTTCTGGACTGGTAGCAGACAGGCAGATTTGGGGGGTTTTGTGTGTTTTCCTTTGACTTTGAATCCACAGGAGTGGCGTTGTGTATGAGCAGGAATCAGTAGCAGGACCAGACGAAGCTCTGCTGGGTGCAGAAAAAAAAGGCGGCGGGTGCTTGGGAATCTCTTTGGTCCTTTCTGATGAACGTCTCACCTGCCCACTAAAATTTACACGCCGCCCCACCCCCCCCCACACTGGGCCGAGATGGGAGGCATCGCTCCGAGCTCAGGAGCTTCGAGACCAGCCTGAGGCAAGAGTGAGACACCCATCTCTACTAAACAATAGACAAGAAATTAATGGCCAACTAAAAATATACAGAAAAAATGAGCTGGTCGTCCGGTTGGCGCATGCCTGTCAGTTCCCGAGCTCACTCGCGAGGGTGGAGTGCAGGAGGAGTCGCTCACGGTCAGGAAGTTGAGGACCGAGCCTGAGCAGAAGTGAGACCCCCGTCATTCTACTAAAAATAGAAAGAAATAACTGGCGCAACTCTAAAATATGTAGAAAAAAAATTTGGAGCGGGTTCGTGGGGCGCATGCCCTGGTGGTCCCAGCTACTCGGGTGAGGAGGCCCTGAGCGCAGGAGGATCGCTTGAGCCCAGGAGTTGGAGGGCTGTGTGAGCGAGGTGACAGCCACGGGCCACGTGCACTCTAGGCCTGGGCAACAGAGTACCACTCTGTCTTCAAAAAATTAAAATACAAATAAAATTCAACAATTAAAAACATTAAAAAATAATAATAAAAAAAAATAAAAATTAAAAAATAAAAAAAAAGAAAGAAAATCTTACGAGATGTATTGCCTAATCACTAAAGCCTCCATCCCTATGGGAAAAGTCGGATTCACTGAGAAATGATCTAAAAAAAAAAGACGTACCACAGACGCGGCGGTTCCATTGCAAAGAGAGTCGGTAAGCATTGAGCACCAGTTGATGTTGAGGGGACCGGAGACTTCTGTATACTTCCACCGTTTCGGGCGGCCATTGTGAAAGAAGAGCACACGAAAGTCAGCGTCGTGTTTCTGCTATAGTTCTCAACTTCCCGTTCCAGTTACGGACAGGAGACGTTAGGAAAACTGCAGCAAATCATCCGGCTCCAGCTTCCGTCCAGAGGAGAATGTCCTTCAAAGAGCAGCTGGAATTTGTCTGACTTTGATGATGGGCTGCAGAGCTGTTCTAAAAATAAAGACGTGGTTGTTGAACCCAGTAGGAAGAGGTTATTTCATCACTGTTGTTTTCCAGTCGTGGCCTCTTGCCTTGTATGGTTTCTTGTTTCTCCGAGCCAACTAAGGAGAGCCATCCTCTGTCCCTGAGCTCTGAGAATGCTCCGAGCACAAGAGTCTGTGGTTTTTGGGGAATCCTGTTTGGCTCCTACGAGGAGTCTGTGTTCTGCAGTTGCAATGTTTAATGCATATATATAAAGGGCATGAGTATCCACAGGAATTAAGCCTGAGAAATTGAATAGAAACGCCACTGTTAAATAAAGACGTGCTTATGTGTTAATATATCGAACTTCTTAATAAGCAAGAGCAACTAGCATTAAGCCTGATTTGCTATCTGCAGATAGTAAACAAATCAATTAAATTATGTGATTTTTGTGACATCTCGCTCTCGCCCCAGGTGATCCGTGAGCGCATGCCTCGCTGTCACAGCAACCTCAGACTCTTGGGCTCAAGCATCCTCCTGCCTCAGCTTCCTCTCCGATGTAGCGGAGACAGGCATCCATCCTCGCTCCGCTCATTTTCTCTCTAGTATATTACGTTTGGCCAATTAATTCTTTGTTATTTGTAGGTAGAGACAGGTTCCTTGCTCTTTGCCAGGCAGGTTCGATCCACTCCAGACCTGAAGTGACCTCCTCCATCTCGGCCTCCCACGAGCTGATTAAGGCTTTGAGCTCAACCGTGCCCGGGCCCATGTTGAACTTCTTAATAAAGAGAGCATAGCAACTTAGCATTAAGGTCTGATTTGCTATCTTTTATTGAATTATTTATTTTTGAGACAGAGTCTCTCACTCTGTTGCCCGGGCTAGAGTGCCGTGGCGTCAGCCTCGCTCACAGCAACCTCAATCTCCTGGGCTCAAGCGATCCTCCTGCCTCAGCCTCCCGAGTAGCTGGAATGACAGGCACATGCCACCACACCTGGCTAATTTCTTTCTATTTTTAGTAGAGACGGCTCTCGCCTCTTGCTCAGGCTGGTCTCCAATTCTGAGCTCAAGTGATCCTCCTGCCTCGGCTCCCAGAGTGCCGTAGCGGTGACAGCGCCGTGAGCCACCTCGCCCGGCCCCCAATGCTATCTTGTGTTTTTGCCTGATCTAGAAGCTCAAAGCAGACTTCACGGTACCAGGAAATTTAACTTCTCTATTCATCATACTCAAGGCTACCAGACTCTGAGACAACACCAGCTTTACTTTTGCTTATCTGGATGTACTCTCATCAAAAATAAGGATCCTGGCCGGGCGCGGTGGCTCACGCCTGTAATCCTAGCACTCTGGGAGGCCGAGGCAGGCGGATTGCTCAAGGTCAGGAGTTCGAGAACCAGCCTGAGCCAAGAGCGGAGACCCCGTCTCTGTACGGTATAAATAAGAAAAATTAATTGGCCAACTAGATATATATAGAAAAAATTAGCTGGGGCATGGTTGGTGCATGCCTGTAGTCCCAGCTACTCGGGAGGCTGAGGCGAGCGAGGATCGCCTTGAGCCCAGGAGTTTGAGGTTGCTGTGAGCGAGGCTGACGGCCACGGCACTCACTCTAGCCTGGGCAACAAAGCGAGACTCTGTCTCAAAAAAAAAAAAAGGATCCTACAGAATGCCATCATAGGAAATATCCTAAAACACACAGAAGTTTTCTCACTGCTTGGTGGCTGTATATGCTATAGTTAATAGGTTTTCTTTGTCAATTACTGAAGTAAGGCGAGGCCCTTAAAGTTATTAATAATGTTAATAATGGTTACTAAAATTATTATTATTAAATAATTATTAAAATCCCGTTCCATAGCAGGATTATCTTTGCCAAAAGCATGGATGAATACATGTCTAGAGACAACAAGGAAACTAGTTTATCTATAAATTCGCTGCATGTTATGATTTAATTCCTTATCTTGGTTTTCTTTTCCTCCTTTTTAGATCCTAGCTCAGTCGTGTACCGAAATCCTAGAATTGCAGCCATCGAGTGTCTGTGTAGGGGGTGAGTGTTTAGAATTTAAAAATAATCCTGCAAGAAATTGTGTGGTTTATTTCTTTTTTTTCTCCTTCTTCTTCTTCCCTAGCTAAAATATATGATTTGAAACTCAATGTTGGAAAGAGAATAGCAGCGACATCTTTTTGTGTGTGTGTGTGTGTAAAAGAATTTTTAAATAATTCCTTGAAATATTTCTATTTTAAATTCAATTTTTTTTTTTTAAGATCGGAGGGTTATTTTAAATAATGAGCATATTGTGTGACAGGCTTTTAGAGTCCTCTGTCTATTTAGTTCACATCTGAGACCTCTTCCCTATGGCAAATAAAATATGAGATCTGTTCTTTTATCTGATTGTGCAAACAGCCCGTCGTCTGCAGGCTTTGGGCTCTGTGTGCTTTTGCCTTCCAGGTACAGTCTCTGCCAGTTCAGGGCACACGCAGAAGGAAAGTGACTTGGGGGGTTTATAGCAGGAAAAGGGAGCAGGTGGCTTCGCCAGCTAGCGCTAAGCACAAATTCAAGGCGTTCACACCTCCCAGGCCAACCTTGCCCAGAGAAAGTCTTGATTCTCTCCGGCTGGCCTCTCTCGTCTCTTCTTCCAGCCCGAACTCGGGTGCTTTGTAACCTGACTTGACTTTATTTATTTATTTTTTTCTTTGAGACAGAGTCTCACTTGTTGACCAGGCTAGAGTGAGTGCCGTGGCATCAGCCTAGCTCACAGCAACCTCAAACTCCTGGGCTCAAGCAATCCTCCTGCCTCAGCCTCCTCCCGAGTAGCTGGGACTACAGGCACGCACCACCATGCCCGGCTAATTTTTTTGTATATATACTTTTAGTTGGTCAATTAATTTCTTTCTATTTTTAGTAGAGACAGGGTCTCGCTCAGGCTGGTTTCGAACTCCTGACCTTTGAGCAATCCGCCTGCCTCGGCCTCCCAGAGTGCTGGGATTACAGGCGTGAGCCGCCAACCCGCCCGGCCCTAAATCCTCTTAAAAACATTGTTTGACAGTTTTATAAACCCCTGATGCTCAGATGGGGCAACTGAGGGCAGAGGCAGGTTCAGTACTTGCTGTGATTAGCAATCGTCCTATCCCATCCTGACTCAAGAGCCCTTGGATTCACATTTTAAGTTTCACCTACACTTTATTTCAATTTATCAGTAGGATTCCTTTAGCAACAGACTCAATGAAGAATGGCCTTGGCAGTATTTTATTCCACCGTTAATGACTGTCTATGCCTTGGGTGGTGTTAGGTAGCATAAGTTGGAGAGGATTGATCGTGTTGAAAGTAAATGAGCATGGGGACCAAGCTCGAAGAACCCCCGATCAGGCAAACACAGGTTGGTCTTTATCGGTGACCTTAACCTTGCTCGATTTGCAAACATAGTAGAAACTTAACTTGATCTATTTCTTGTAAATGCCTATTTTAAGGAAAACAGAACGTAAGCTCAGTCAATCCAGAACAGCCAACGAACTTGCGTAACCCGGGATTTTCCAACAGGACAGAGGAAATCAGGCAACTGCACGACTATAACCAATGAAATAATTTCTTTGCTCTCCTTCCAAGTTCATCCTACTGAAAACCCTCCCCCCATTGCATGTCCCTGGTGGAGCTCTTCTGATTTGGAGCTCTCCAATCCAGGAATCGTCCTTTGCTCCAATAACTCTTTTTTTTTTTTTTTGGAGATAGAGTCTCACTTTTGTTGCCCGGGCTAGAGTGAGTGCCGTGGCGTCAGCCTCGCTCACAGCAACCTCAGACTCCTGGGCTCAAGCGATCCTCCTGCCTCAGCCTCCTCCCGAGTAGCTGGGACTACAGGCACGCACCACCATGCCCGGCTAATTTTTTTGTATATATACTTTTAGTTGGTCAATTAATTTCTTTCTATTTTTAGTAGAGACAGGGGTCTCGCTCAGGCTGGTTTCGAACTCCTGACCTCGAGCGATCCGCCCGCCTCAGCCTCCCAGAGTGCTGGGATTACAGGCGTGAGCCACCGCGCCCGGCTCCAATAACTCTTTAAATGAAGCTTTCCGATCCAGAAATCGTTGTTTGCTCAAATAACTCTTTTTTAAAAAAAGTTTTTTTTATTTATCGTGCCTCAGTTTACCCTTTTGATAAGTTGATCACTATTAAAATAATAAGTCGTATTTCAGCTGAGTAGCAGACATTTGCTGCCTATCAAGATATTTGATCGGCTATCTTTCCTACTAGCACATTCTTTGACTCTCTGACATATTTTAGTGCCTGAGTCTATTACAGACACACAGGGTACGACAAGTTAAATCAACTTCCTTTCGTAACTGTCTGTAGGTTATTAGTATCCAAAATGCATGACCCCTGCCGGTTTATGCATTTGCATGCAATAGAAAATGAAACCAGGATTAGTTTAGGTGAAGAATCTGTTAAAGAATAATTCTGTTAAAGAATAATTCTTTATAATAATAATTATAAAGAATTATTATAAAGAATATTATAAAGAATAATTCTTTATAATAATAATCTTTTAAAGAATAATTCTGTATGAGAGAGACATCCATTAAATATACTACACACGCCTTTTCTAAGAGCCCACGGATACGCATAATTAATTCGTTTTTTTTTTGTTTGTTTGTTTGTTTTTTACACGTTCTCAGACCTTATGATATTTTCCTAAGGATAGAAAATTTGGGCGAAGTTTGTCTGGAATCTGTCTGGGAATGACGGTTACGCTTCAATTCTAATACTTTGCTCACTCCTGGAAAGTTAGCAGGCACAGGGGTGCTTTCTTTTATTTTCTAAAAAAAATAAAATGGTATCTTCAATGCACTTAACCTAGACTCACAGGGGTCCTCAGACTTTTTAAACAGTTAAGCCAGTTCACTGTCCCTCAAGACCCTTGGAGGGCCGGATTATAGTTTAAAAAGAAAAAAAAACTGTGCACAAATTCCTATGCACGCTGCACGTATCTTATTTCGAAGTAAAAAAAAAAAAAAAAAAACGAGCAAAAACCCCTGCATGTGGCCCTCGGACCGCAGTTTGAGGACGCCTGACCTAGAGGGTCTAGAAAGTAAGCTTGGTTGGAAATACTATGTCTTTGCTGCTAGTTGACCAAATAGTATAAAATAAAATTTTTTAAAATATTTTTTTATAAAAATATTTTTTATGAAAAAATTTAAAAAATATTATTCTGTCCTTCTGAATACTTTGAAGTCTTTTTTATTTTTTATTTTTTGGTAAAACGGTGATTAAATTTTGTTGTTGTTGCTGTTTTCCTTGCAGAGGAATTTCAGATCGTTTTGAACGGAAGAGGGTTCACCTTGGGGAGCCGGAATGGCAGTGCCTTGTGTACTTACACCGTGAATGGGACGTACACGAAGAGTAAGTGCCAAACAATGTCACCGTGGCTTCAATGTCCCCAGAGCATGTCAGCAACAAGGATTTTTCCCCTGCTAAAACCAGCTATGCTGTATTATTATTATTATTTTTTTTTTTTTTTTGAGACAGAGTCTCGCTTTGTTGCCCAGGCTAGAGTGAGTGCCGTGGCGTCAATATTATTATTATTATTTTTTTGAGACAGAGTCTCGCTTTGTTGCCCGGGCTAGAGTGAGTGCCGTGGTGTCAGCCTTGCTCACAGCAGCCTCCAACTCCTGGGCTCGAGCCATCCTCCTGCCTCAGCCTCCTCCCGAGTAGCTGGGACTACAGGCATGCTCCACCACGCCCGGCTCATTTTTTCTATATATATTAGTTGGCCAATTAATTTCTTTCTATTTATAGTAGAGACAAGGGTCTCGCTCTTGCTCAGGCTGGTCTCGAACTCCTGACCTTTGAGCGATCCTCCCGCCTCGGCCTCCCAGAGTGCTGGGATGACAGGCCTGAGCCACGGCGCCCGGCCTGTGCTGTATTTTTTTAATCAAAGAAAGAAAGAAACAAAGTATCCGTGCGAATGCAAACAGTAATTATTGGATAATGGCAACAGTTTCTTGTATCTTAATTAATGCTGGATACTGTGTTTAAGTAGCCTCATTATGCAAGGGATGGTTTGTGGCTGAAAGAATAAAATAATTTGCCTGTGTTGACACAGCCAATAATGGGCTAATATTTAAGCCCAGTTGTCCTGACCCTACTATTTATGGACTGTATCATCTGCCTGAGTTAATGATCTCTTGCCTTAGACTTCTTTCTTTCCATTTTGGTCTTGAAATCTAATTATCTTGGACTTACTACTTGTTTCCTTATTTTTTTTTTTTTTTGTCACTTATCTTCTTTATCTAAGTTTCTGATAATTTGTCAGTTTCTTGAAGATTTTTTTTTTGGCCTGGCAGATTCTTGCAGCCCAACTACCTATAGATAGCGCAGTGTTTGTTGATAATTATCCTATTTATGGAACTGGCCTTTAATTTTCCCTAGCCTCAGCTTTTAAAGAGAAGTTTTTATGATGAATATGAGTGATGTTTTTTATTTCCATGCTGAAAACCCAAACTCCCCCTTTGAAATGGATGTCCTGAGCATTTGGGGTCTCTACGAAAAACCTTTTTTTTCCTTGTGAATGATTGTACTGCCCTCCAAGAGTTTATATTATAAATCGGACTGTATAATACAGTTACGTTTTGAGAGATTCATCTTCAATTTTGCTTTTTTATCTGGTGCTGATAAATGGTGCAACTAGCACAGGTTTGGCCACAAAATAACTATTCAATGTGTGTTTGCTCAATTAAAGAGATGGGGCTCTCAGCATTGTAAATGCCATAATTTCTTCCTTTTTTTCCTTTTAAGATTACCCATTTTGCTAAGGCAAATCAATAATATTTGCTACAAACTCTCCTTGTCAGCTCCACAACTTGAGGATGACAAAACAAAATAATTTTATTTTTATTCGGTAGTCATTTGTACCTAAGCATTAGCTTTACCAAACTCCCTTGGATTATATATTTGAGTCGATTATCATATAAACACGTTTTGTGCCTAGTTACATAAGATTAAGTTAGTTGAAGTTAAACCCTCAAACGAATAAGTAAAGTCAGAATTGTATTTTCATCGTTTACATTCTAAGATGATCCATTTGATTTTGTAACTTTTCTGAATATTTCTAGTCTAGATCATTTTTCTCAAGTTATTAAAATTACAAGGTTAATTTAGGCACCCAGCTTTTATACAATGTATTTATTTATTGTAGATACAACTTTTTTTTTTTTTTTTTGAGACAGAGTCTCGCTCTGTTGCCCGGGCTAGAGTGAGTGCCGTGGCGTCAGCCTCGCTCACAGCAACCTCAGACTCCTGGGCTCAAGCGATCCTCCTGGCTAATTTATTTCGTATATAGTTTAGTCAGCCAATTAATTTCCTTCCTATTTTTAGTAGAGACGGGTTCTCACTGCTTGCTCGGGCTGGTTCGAACTCCATGACCTCGAGCGATTCCTCCCGCTCGGCCTCCCAGTTGTGCTTAGGATGACAGGGGTGAGCCCACCATGCCCGGTCCACAATTGCTTTTTGTTTTTTTTTTTTTTTTTGAGACCGAGTCTCATCTGTTGCCCAGAACTAAGAGTAGTGCCGTGCGATCAGCCCGCTTCAACAGCAACCTCCAACTCCTGGCTAGCGGATCTCCTGCCTCAGCCTCCCGGAGTCGCTGGGACTACAGGCAACTGCGTCACTGTTGTCCGGCTAATTTTTCTATATATTTTAGTTGGAATTAATTTCTGTCTATTTTTAGTAGCAGACGGGGGTCGTCGACTGCTCTTGCTCAGCGTTGTCTCGAACTCCTGACCTCGGAGCGATCCTCCAACCTCGCCTCCCAGAGGCTGGATGACAGGCGTGAGCAACCTCGGCGCCCACGAATTGCTTTCTGTTTCAGCATTCTTCTTCGTAAAACTCAGGGCTTGTGGGTTTTGGTTCAAAAGAGGGATTAACACGAAGATGTCTACTTGGAGACTGGAACTGAGAATGTTAGCAGGGTAGCTAGCACGTCAGCCTGCATTTGGAAATTGATATTACAGAGTAAATGAAAGTTAAGAGTATCTGGGCAAATGCTATCCAGGTATATCGCTGTTAGAATGGGTCTTTGAAGAAAGTTTTGGGGGTGGATCTCATTTATTAAAATTTAATTTATTTGCAATAGAGTTCATGTTGGGATGAAACAAATTCTTACTATTATAAAACAGAAAGAATGTAAGGGTGGGTGTGGTTCTTTTCTATTACTTTCATTAGACACAATTTTCTTTTAAAATGTCATAGGAGCTAAACACATTTTTTTTTTTTTGATGTCAGTCTCACTCTGTTGTCCAGGCTAGAGTGCTGTGACATCAGCCTCGCTCACAGCAACCTCCACCTCCTGGGCTCAAGCGATCCTCCTGCCTCGGCCTCCTCCCGAGTAGCTGGGACTACAGGCATGCGCCACCACGCCCGGCTGATTTTTTTTCTACATATTTTCAGTTGTCCAGCCAATTTATTTCTATTGTTTTAGTAGAGACGGGAGTCTTGCTCTTGCTCAGGCTGGTCTCGAGCTGCGACCTCAAAGCGATCCTCCCGCCTCAGCCTCCCAGAGTGCTAGGATTATAGGCACGAGCCACCGCGCCCAGGCTGGCTTAGTCTTTATTGCTACAAAATAAAAGGAGAAAGAAAAAATAGCAGGCAAGGGCAGTATAGTTCAGGTCAATATAAGGAAGATCTTTCTAAATATTAGAATTATTCAGTTAGTGCTTTGATAACTAAAAGTGCTTAAAGAGGGACAGCTATATGATGATGTAGAGAATATTATTTAAATGTGTACTTAAATGCTCTTATATATCTGCTTATAAATTTTATATTATTAAATCTCTTTATTGTGTTATTTATACATACGACATTAGTTATTAGGCAAGACACTCGACACTTTTAGAAAAGGCACTAAAGATTGGGCTATTATTTTCAAGTGTCTTTTTAGTATTTTATGAAAATGCACAAAGCAATTAATAGGGGATTATTTTCAGTGTCACACTGGAAACAGTTATAATGCAATTTTAGCTGTGATAGCTAATACATCTTTGAAGAGAGCTGCCTTTCTTTGGAAATCTAGCAATCTTCCTGACTATGGCTTTTGTTTAGTTATGTATACATATTGAGATATTTTTAAAGAAATCATGAATCCTAGCACTCTGGGAGGCCGAGGCAGGTGGATTGCTCAAAGTCAGGAGTTCGAAACCAGCCCCAGTGAGTCCCGTCTCTACTATAAATAGAAATTAATTGGCCAAACTATATATATATATAATATAAAATTAGCCGGGCATGGTGGCATGCCTGCTGAGTCCCAGCTACTCAGGAGGCTGAGGCAGGAGGATCGCTTGAGCCAGGAGTTGGAGGTTGCTGGTGGGAGCCCG